GGCGACTTTTCCGGAGACGACCAATTCAGTGGGAGTCACTGCGAAAGAGGGAGTTCTAATACCCGAAACGGAGGACACACTCGACATGGACAGGACTGTGTTTTCTCCGTAACATTGGAGATTGATTAATGGCCATGATAGTTGGATTATAGTTCCTAGTTTATTATTGCTCATTAATCATGCATGTTTTACGTGATTTCTTTTGTGCAAATACAAACATGTTAAGAAAATCCCATAAAATAAAAATTATATTAAGTGTGCAATGGGTTGAAATAAATTACATCCAAGGCCTCCATTATAGGTTTGTCAGTGAAGTGATTTAATTCGAGCCCATAGGACGTTTTATTTCACAGTTCACAAGGACGAATCTCCTTCGGGATGGTTATAGTGAGCTATTTCTAAAACGTACGGGTCACCCAAATAAATATAGTGAGCTATTTCAGAAAGGACGAATTGTAATATTCCGTCAGTTTATCAGTATAAATCATGTTTTTAATTCCGATATATTAATATTGTCGAGTATTAATTTTCGGAATTATTTATTTTCAGATAAGATTACCGGAAATTATTTTTGACGTACCGTTTACGTCCGAAATAATTTTGGTAATTAAGTATTGTGCTTAAAAGTTAATTAAGCATAATTAAGTGATTAATTAAGTATTAATCACATGATATTATTGATTAGCCTTGCGGAATTTGCCAAATTCATTTTAATGCCATAGCTACATTTTCAAGTGGGAAAAATCATTTCTTCTCCCTTAAACCCATGCACGTGGCATCATTAGGGGACTTTTGAAGATGATTAATCTTTTTATAGGATGAGTTAGCATTTGATGGGCTTCTTAAGCTTACAAGTGTCATTAGTTTGGCTTAAACACCACACCACCTCATCAGTCTCATTCTTTTCTCTCGGCCATCATATTTAAGGAGGAGTTGGGATGAATTTTTCCCCACACTTTCAGCCTATATTTCTATCTCATAGTTCATTAGTTCAGCAAGGAGATAAGTGAGTGATTGCTTGTAGTTCTACGCACCTCGCACGCAACGCTGGATACCGTACGCACGCACGAACACCGCACTTAGCAGAAGTTTGCCGAGCAAGCGGAGAGGTAACTTCATGCACACATCTTGTGATGTTGGTAGTATCATGTTTATTTTCAGTATAAACATAAGTACAAGTTCATGTTCTAGCCAGGTGTTGCTTGCGGCCGTGCGTATAACCATGAAAAGCATGTTCATGTTTTAATTCAAAAATCTCTCGAGCAACCTAGTATATTTAGTCAGTTCATGCTGTAACATGATCAATCAGTTTATGTTGTTTGAAGGAATTTCATGTTTTGTCATTGATCTTTTGCCGAGAAGCGTGGTCGCGCAAGTAGCGCATACCACGGGCCACGCCTGGTTTCGATCGGGTTGAGTTGCAAACCTTCGAACATTTCATGTTCATTTATTCAGTAAACTTTATATCATGTTCAGCTGAGTATGAATTGCCGAGAGAAAAGCTAAGTTGGTCGAGTGACGGCCTAACTCCGTCGGCGGCGCACGGTGCGCTCGCCACGACCATATTCAGTTTACCGTCCAAATTTCATGATTTCAGGTTAATTCAGTAATCATGGTTATATCATGTTGTTTGAGGTTGA